TGAGCACACAGTGGGAGAGTGGCTGACATTTCAATGTGCTCAGCCACTTCAGAGTCTAACAGAAACACAAGCTAACACCTTGGCCCTCTGAAGAAGTACAGCTTTTGTTCTGCTGTACTTCCTACTGTCAAGTTTAGAGTTACCTGAAAAGCTAAAACAGATACAAATTTTTAAAATGTTAATAAACCTCACTCCACTAAGATATGAAGATTAATCAGAGTTCCCTAATACTTCACAACTTTTCATCTCTCAAAGACTTTACTTAATTTCTCTCTGTCACTGGTCAATGACAAGGTACAGATTAAAAGAATGAAGATGAACAGAACAAGAGAATGCATGTCATGGGGAACAGACTGAAATGTCCATCCCGAATCCCGTAAGTTCTCTACACTTTTTTTAGTAGAGTCAGGCTACTTGGAGCTATATACACAGGCACTATACTTAAAACGTATTATCTATTTTTTATTACAGTATTGGGGGAACACCTTGACTTAATTAACTAACCTAGATGAATCAGTGTTTCGTATCACCCCCCACCTCCAAGAAGAAAAAGGCTAATAAACATACTAGCTCTTCTTCATCTGTCACCATTACACTGGTTGAGCTCTGAAATTTTCTTAGCTTAACAAAATTGTGTAACAGCTTTTTTTTTGCAGGTGGAGGATGGTAAGGAGGAGCTTGGGCTATTAACTGACTAGGAAAACAAAGAAATATGCATTTCTAATTGATTTCTTTATAACCCATCACCCCTGTTCTCCTGGCTCTAAGAGCAGACACCTTTAAGTACATAACTAATACTGATTCAATGCGTGAAAGGAGACAGAGAATGAGTGGAGCAAAGTCATGAAGCCTCGCAAAGTACAGCTATGCCATTAAGAATAACGAGTGTGTGTGTGGGGGTGGGGGGATGGGGGTTGATTTACATGGCAATATAGTTGAATAGTTTATTATCTAGAGGACCAATGCTTCTTGCTCCTTACTTGCACTTCCTTCCATTCAGAAGCAAAGGCAAAAGGTAAAAAAACAACAATCAACTAGACTGTAAACTGTTCTTATAGACTACTGATAAAAATTAAACATTCTCTCTCCCCGCCCCCCTCCAGATCATTGATTATGGAGTACAAGTCCAAAGATCTTACTGGTAGCAAATTATAAAGTGTTTTAATATGAGTGTATGTTCAAAGTTGTTTTCTAAGTTGCCTAGCTTTTCTAAAGTTGTATTTCATACTTCCTGTGTTTCAGTTCAACAAGTTATTGAATTCTGCACTGTGCCTACAATATTCTTGGTACTGAAGATGTCGGTTAAATTACTAATGGCCTCTGCTCCTGAGGTGCTTCTGCAGTGAGAGAAACTCGGGATGCTGTTAGAGCACAGAGCGGGAGCACAAAGGAGGGCAGGGAAGGTTTCCGGGAGGAAATGATGCCCCAGATGAGTCCTACAAAAGGCGAGGCATTAACCAGGGGGAGGGACAGTCCAGGCAGAAAGAAGAGGAAGTGCCCAAGGCAGAGATGCAGGACAAAGCATGATGCCACTGCCAGGAGTGGGGGTGGCTGAGAACTCCAAGTCATTTTGCATTTCCAGAGACTAAGTAAGAAATGAGGAGCGAAAGAGGCCAGGACATAAAGAACCCTGTGTGTCATCTGGCCTGTGGCTAGAATGCCACTGGAACGTCCAACTAAAGGAATTACGCAGACAGATCTGGGTTCTAGATTCGTTGCTCTGTCAACTTATGATGGAAGATGGCATCTAAGGTGAGAGGAAGTACAGGCCAGAGGCTACTTCCCACAGCCTGGATTCTCCAGGGTTACTATCAGCAATGCAGCTATTCCTGAATGTCCTCTATGGAACAGATCTGGGGATGTCGTGAGATCCCTAAATCCAGGGAACAGTTTGGAAACTCAAGTGCATTGCTGGGCCATTCAAGGACTCTTCCCTGGAGATCCCCCTGAATCACAGACTGCCTTGGGTGATGGTTACATAACAAGTTGTCCCTGATACCCTGCAAGTCGTAGGTGAGCAAGCAGATACCACCCCCGCCCCCCGCCCACCGCCATCGAAGTGTGCTCTGCAACGCAAGTTCTGGAAAAGAAGCTACTAGTAAACAGTAGAACAGAACCTGTCATCATTCAGCTAATTATGCCGAATTTGTACTGCAGCGTACTACCAAAAAGCAGCACTCTGGATAAAAAAATGTTGCCTTGCCAGCTGCTGGAACATTTCCGTAAATAACACGTTGTCACTAGCCCTGTCTCTGCCACGTTCTTACCAGCTTCACCGGTTTTCCTGCGTTGCCTGAGGGAGCCCAGGGGCTGCAGGCACACTAGTCAGAGGCGCTCCTGTGGGCTGTGAGCGCATCTCTGGCCCCCGCAGCTCTCTTCATCCGCCCCAGCCTGAAGGACTCAGAAAACCGATGCTGTGTGAAACGCCAAACAATAAATACATAGCATCTATTCCTGTCACTGAAAGTCTCATTCCTTACCTCACACTTAGTCCTACATCTCTTCCTTGCTCCGACTTCCTCACTTTATTTTTTACCATCCCCCCCCCAAAAAAAAGCCAGAGAGGAGCATTTGTTTCTAGTACCCCTTCTCTAAAGTGTCCTCTATGTTTCTGTCATCAACACCTTCTTTTCCCCCAGTCATGCCAGCAAAATCTAACTGCCTCCACTCCCCAGGTCATTTCCGTCCGTAAGAGTCCTTTCCCTTTGACTTAATTCCTGTGATCATTATTGTTCATTTTATAATCATGTATCCCACATTGGCATCCAAATTAACTTCTACGTTCTTTAAAAGCCCAGAGCAAGGCTTAGGCTTTCCTGTGTCCCATCTGTGACGCCTGCAGTAATATATCTGAGGTGTAGACTCAGGAATTCTGAACAACAATCACATTGATATCCACGTGGATTTCTTCAACCGGCATTTTTATCCGTAAAGGTAACTGAAAGCCCCCAAGAGCCTTTGGAAGTAGACAGAAACTGAGGACATATTCCAAGTCGGTTAAAAAGGAAAAGTCAAAGCTAAAGAGGCAAGAAACTTGACCAAAGTTAAATAAATGGCTGAAACAACAAGAACAAGAGTGTCCGCACTTTATGAAAGAAGTATTTATTCACTAAACACCATTCTCTCTGACAAAGTTATCCTTACCCTCAACTCAATATTTTTCTGCACTAGAAAGAGGGTGCTATGCTTCAAATAACCCAAGATGTCCGCTAATGCTGAAGTCATTCATATTGGATATGGAAATGGATAATATGATTATGGAGTCAATATCTACCCCTTCACTAATGTGAAGAGTTTTTACACCTTCCTGAATTAAGACATTCTAACAGCGCTCCAACAGCCTTGGAGAAAGCTTGCCCAGGACGATATCTGAAAGCGCAAATGATTCATCTACATAAAATCAAGAGGCTGGTGATATATCATGTCTTTGAAAGGGGTACAGAATACTAAATGGATCGCATCAGAGATATCCCAGCAGGAATGATTACAATCAAAGGCATTCTACACAAACAAATAAACAAAACGAAGCCCAGAGCAAAGGGTACACATTAGAATGATAGACTTCTTCAACCAAATGGAATAACTGTGGCTGAAATATTCTCAGTATAAAACATTTGACTGCGTACCCTTCAAGTTAAAAAAATTAGGACAAATAATTAAATTAATAAACATATAGACACACTAATATGCAGATATATTATGTACACTATAAACATGAAAATTTTAAAAGATAAAGATAGAATAGATCCTCTAAAATGTTCTTCCCTCATGCAATAGCTTACTGGGCACAACCCTTATAAAAGTACAAAGCCAAAGGTAATTACTCTATTATCTGGAAAAGTCCAGAATTGTTTTCGTCCCTTTGCTAAAGCAGATGTGCTTTTAATATCCAGAGAAAACCAATTAAGTTTCTAATAGTAAAAAGTCATAGAGTGGGAAATGCATAAGAATTTTTGGAAGCTTTACACTGGTTGGTGACAAGAAGCTACAAAGTGTAAATGACCCAAAGGCAGAATTGATTTTGTTTTTGATCTAAACTGTGTCCCCTATAATTGCTGTGATTTACAGGCTCAGTGCTTTAACCCATACGTTGTTTCCATCCACAGGAAGGTACTGGGTAGTCATTAAAAAACTGTCACATAAATAGCCACTTACCAGATCACCTGGGAGTGTAATGTTGGACAAGTACTAAAGAAGCCAATTTTATTTATTTTACTACTTGTAAACTCCCTGAGTAAAGGGTGAGCAAAATTTTCTAAACACTCCACCCTTAATTATCCATACAAACAGATCAGAGGAGAGCCACAGAGAAGTCAGAATGAATAATCAAAAAAACTTTTATATAATCAGTTTTGTAATGTGTTCAGATACCAGCTGGCACCTCTTTCCTTAAATTACACTGGACCTCAGCCCGAAAAATGGTAGATTACAGAGGTCAAGGGACAAAGATCTAAGTACTTGCTTGAAAACTCACTCAATCTCGAGCAAGTTACTTAACTTCTATAATTTTCTATTCCCTCATCTGTAAAATGAGGAAGCTAATACTAACTGCCTTGTGGGTTTCTGGAAAGATTAAATGATGTTCAGCACTTGAGGTAATCAGCAGAATACTTGGTAAACAGCCAAAAACTGTGTGCTTTAGTATTGTTAGAGTGTAAGTAAGTTCTGGATAAAAATCAGCACAGCGGAGGGAAAGAGAGAGAGGATGTAAACATGGTCGAGTACATTGAAAGTGATGTTCAAATTCACTGTAAGGCCAACTGCTGTTCCTCCAAAAACATCTGAGGAACATAATGTTCCCCAACTGCTTTTGGGAAAAGCATGGTTTTTAACCAGATACCTCTACGGGGAAAGCAAGAAGAGAGTTGCTTTTCTTCCCATCTGAAGGGGTTTTCCTGCTTCAGTGTCTGGAAGCCTGGTTACTGCCACAGAGGTCAGAAACCCTGCTTTGGTGTGACGGAGGCCTCTGACCAGCAGAGAAGGCAGCGCTCATACATTACCTGTGCCCAGTGGTTTTTAAACACGATCATGCATGTTTCCGGGTCCACTCCCTGAAGGCTCACAGCCTGCTGGAGTTTGCTTTCAGTCGCAACCGATGACATCATAAAACTTCATAAACCAATGCTTCTAAGTCATATTTAATTTTCATGAAAATTTCAAAAGCAGTCACTAACTTTCAAGTATCACATTAGAAATGTAACTTCTTCACATTTCACTGTCACCTTCCAAAACCTGTAATGACAATGAAAAAACACATCTCATTATGTTCATATATTGAATAGGACACTGACTGCTATATTTAAATCAAAGCACAGACATTCTCAAAGTCCAACATAGAACAAAATATATGCAACATAGACATTGCTACTCAATCGAAAGGCTTCCTTATTTTCTCTCATCTTGCTACTAAAAATATAAACAAATGATGCTACCAAAGCTATGTGCATAAATTAAGCAATTAAGGTTTATTTTCTCCACTACCAACAACCACAACCCCTTAGATTATAATTCTGTGTCACTCAAATCTAGTTTTATAATCAAGCAAGAAACTATGATGCCAATGCCTGTAGAGTTTAAAAACATCCAGAAACAGGAAAACCGTTAGTTAATAGCAATGTACATAAAAGGCCTGATGAAACCTGAGGTAGTTATAAAACAGCACACAGACTCCTGGATCCAATATTATTGAATTTTTTTTTAAATCAATGACTGTCATATGGAACTGAAAGCATTCTCGGTCATATTGTAGCTACAAACAAAGCAAAGGTTTCTAGGTTTTTCTGAAAAATAATAGAATTCCAAGTAATCTCAACAAATCAGAGACAGAAAGGATCCATCAAAAACAAGACAGTGCACACTTACAAATGAAAGGTGAATTATGCAGATAAGATATGAAGAAAGTCAGACTACAAAAGTCTGCCAGTAGGGAGAGAACAAGACTGAGGTCACAGAATGAACGGCGGGTGTGACCCAGCCACCTGGCACTCACTCTGACGAAGGCGCAAGCAGTGCGGTCCTATCTCACCCACAACGAACTGGGCACCGTTCAAAATATTAGTTTATTAGTGCGCAGACTGGAGAAAGATCAGAGAAAAGTAATTACGCATAATTATCAAAGCGCTGGAAAACAAAATCCATAATAAAATTTCCAACCTTGCAGAGCCAAAAGAAAAATAAAAACAACTATTTTCAATAGATGGATATGAATGGTATTACAAGGAGAACACTGACCAATAAACAAGCAATAAGGTGTCAGAAAGAAAGCTCGAGGTGATGATTCAGGCTATACTTGAGGGCCAAGTTCTTTGTAGGGAGTGGAATTCAACACTGGAAAACAGTTAAGGAATATTCAAGTGCTTCTGCTGGCAGGTGGGAGGCTAACCAGTTATCATTAAAGGATCATTAGAAAACATGAGGACAGAAGGACAGAAGACTTGCAAGAATTAGTAATTCTAAAGAAAGAAACATTTTTTAAAGGAGAATGAAAGGGGACTAAACTATTTAAAAAGTGGAAGGCCTGTTAGAAGGAGGACTGTACACACAACATACCTAAGGGACGCAGCTGTGTGTATCTTCTGTGATTGTATTTTATTATTTAAATTGGTGAATTCCCCAATGTATAATTGCTAATAATACAAAGTTGTTGTTTTCAACTTCCTCGTTATCCTAAAAATAATATTTCTGTGAAGAATGTCCAGGTCTTTTACTCAGATGATGTAAAGATACTAATAAGGAAATCAGAATATTTGGGTTTAGCCCTGGCCAGTGTGGCTCGGTTGGTTGGGCGTCATCTCGCAAGCCAAAAGGTCACGGGTTTGATTCCCCGTCAAGGCACATACCTAGATTGTGGGTTTGATCCCGGGTCTGGGTGCATACAGAAGGCAGCCAATCAAGATGTTTCTCTCTCACATCAATGTTTCTCTCCCTCTCATTCTCCCTTCCCCTCTCTCTAAAAAAAGAAATAAATAATTTTTTAAAAAAGAATATTTTGATTTATCCTAGAGGTTGAAAAAGTAGAGGACTCCTGGAGATTCCTTCAAGCTCCAGGATTCTCAGATTGTTCTTCAAAGCTTTGAGGGAGACAGACACCATGCCAACCGCCCCTAAATCAAAATCAGAGACATGCTCTCTAAGATCCTCTAAGTCAGTTCTCAAAGGGACTTTACATGCAGCCTTTCAGAGAGTGAGATGCACCACAGAGAAGATAAATATCTCAGTGAAGGTCATAAATTTACTAGTTGGTTTTGATGGAAACAGAATGTAAGTCTCTCTCGATTCCCAGTCCAGTGTTCTTTCTAGGAAACCATATTCTCCTTTCTCCTGGCTAGAATCCCCAACCGTATTCCCTTAAGGTAGCTGAACCTTCTCTAAGAAAAATGTATCACATTTGGCTGATACTGATCCGATCATACTTTTGAGGCAGATGCTGGAAGAATCTAAACGTGTCATGAATACAGAAACCACAGCATGGAGAAAACTTGGTGGAGAAAGGAGGTGTATGAGGTAAGTCAAGCGAGCCACATCTGAGGACAGAACACTGTGCCAGATGATCCTAGAAATGAAAACACTCCCTAACACACCCAGAGACCAAAGAGCTGAATAGTTCCACTGTTTCCCTTATTCCCAGGTCAGGGTATCAACACACAGGCATGTCCCCAAGGCAATACACACCTAAAAGGAAGAGACAGCACTGTGTTTATGAGAGATGTTTGAAGATCTATTTCCTCAAATACCAGGACTTCCAATATATTTCTGCCTTTGCCTGTTATCAGGCTTTACTTTTTCCTTTTCTTGCCTTTTTTCAATTCCAAGCTTTTTATTTAACTCTCAGATTACAGCGACAAGACCCAAGTAAAGAACAGAGAAGGACAGCACTAAGCAAAAAGCTGTGAATAGGCAAAAGACGCACGAGTCACCAGAATGCGCCCTGTGTCACGGGCAGGACATTACTGGACACGTCCCCGCTCTTGCCCTGTTCCCTCTTCAGCCTGAGGCATCAAGTTCAGCTGGGAACACTGGCTACGCTTGGCACATAGTAGCCTGCTCTTCCCGTAAATACACACACGCACTTCAAGTCCAATTTCATGCCTAAGAGAGAGCTCTATAAACCATCCAGACCCTAGCAAGTAATTTTTTTTTCTTCTTCAAACAAACAAACCGCCATCACCAAAAAATATCCAAAGGGCTCTTTCTCCGACAGTGGTTGCATGTGGTTTTGTGGTGTGGTTGTTGAGTTTTCTGGCGTGGGAGTGGGGGTGGGAGAGGGGCTATCAAAATACATAAGTAACAGACTGCTAGGTCAGCACAAATTCTATACTGAAAGGACAGACCTGCCTATATTATTTACAAAGAGAACTGAGTATATTATTTACAGAGACATTATTGGTAGTCAAATTATACATCTCAAGATTATATATAAAAATATTTTCCATCAATTAGGAAAGAAAAATTCTATTGTTGGAGACAGAGATAACTGATGTAAAACTTATACATATTTTTACTGGCCCTTTTTGGAAAGTATATGATATCTTTCATTTCACTGTGAGAAAAGCATTAGCATATGCTCCACATCACAGAATTATAAAATACACCATATGGTCACAAAAGCTTAGCTTCCAGTCATCTAGATCACACCTCTTCCCAATGTAAAAATTCCTTCAGCCTCACTCCCAAATAAACAAATATCTAATTTCAATCTCTTTCAAAAACTAATACTTAGGAGAGCTATAAATGTGTCAAAATTACATTTTTTCCTGAAATACATTTCCTGAATGACTGTATTTTAATATACTCTCTCTCTCTCTTCTCCTATCAGACTGAACTTACAATGTAAACATTTTGGCATTTAGTTCTCTATTATCTCACACCATCCTTCAATTATTGTATCTGTTTCAATATAATATCCTCTAAGAACAAATTATAAAATATTCCTTAAGGGAAAGAACTGGATGGCCACCTTAAGGGGAGACAGAGCAAAGAGAACACTTTTGTTGAGAAAAGAGCAATCATATTTGCAGGCCTCGTGGGAAAGAGCCCATAGCATGAGAATTTGAAGATTTTTTTTAAAAAAGGATCTGATGGTGCTCCAAGAGAAGAAAGGTGATGTGAAGCTCACAGGCAACTGGGCCTAGAGAAAAGAGGAGCTGGGTCGTGTCTTTTCACAGTGAGTTGCCAAAGCATATGTCTTCACCTTGAAGGAAAGAAATGGCAGGTTCCCTTCCTGCCTTTCCTTCTTCTTCCCACCTACTTATTTCTATGGTTGGTTTGTGGAAATGGTTACAGAGTCTAGGAGGATTTAAAGTGCGGGACAAAGGGCAAAGGCTAAGAGTTTTGAGCTTGGTTTTCCCACTGTGGAAGTGGGAAAACTTCAAGTTCTCTCTTGGAGACTTGCACTTCGAACTGGGAAAAGAGGCCCCCAGGCTCTGCCTCCAGCTCGAATCAGCTGTGATACCGTAAGTTAAAAATAGGGCTCTTGGTTTGGGACCTCACTTAGGTGAGTAGTTAGGATTAAATGAGTGTTTCTTAGGTCTCTCCCAGCTCTAAAGTCATTATTTTATGTACTTTGTTACAACGGTGATACTAATTGGGAAAAGGTAATCAGATAATCATTAAAGAAGGACACTGGCCATTGTACAAAAATCTTTGTAAGAATTCTGGTTGAAAATGGAATTCTGTCTGATTGCTTTTTTCTATTGAAGCGTATTTCACTTAAGGAATCAACCATCTCAAACACACAAACAAACAAACCAAATTCATGGCTGGTCTGAGCAACTGCCAGTATAAAATCTCATTGTTACAGAATGCACTCTGAAATGCCCTGAATTGGCTACTGCTAAACACATAAAAAATCTATTACTATAAAAGTGCTTATCATGAAAAATTGCATTAAGGGTGAAGATTCTTCAAATATTGGGAACACCTGAAAGAGGGGCACCTTATGCCCTCAATTATAACTAATAGTAGTGAGGGGAATTCATTTTGGGTCAAACTACCTCAGACAACCTCGACTTAGAGCCTAATAAGATCCTATTAAACCAAAATCCTCCTTGTGCTCAAATCCTCTGGCCCAGTTTCCTTTTCTCTCTTGCTGCCATATCACATGGCAACGCTGGGCTGTGGAAAAGAAAGCAGGCACCTAACCGCCCTGACTCCCCTGGACCTTGTCCCGAGCCTCCCTCAGCTGCCTTAGAGTTTGACTCTGGCTCCTTCATTGTTCACTGTCCATCACTTCA